AATCTGTGATTGATACGTGATCTGTGATTGGTACGTGATCTGTGATTGGTACGTAATGTGTAATTGGTACGTAATCTGTGATTGGTACGTAATCTGTGATTGGTACATAATCTGTGATTGGTACATAATCTGTGATTTTCAGGTAATCTGTGATTGGTACGTGATCTGTGATTGGTGCGTAATGTGTAATTGGTACGTAATCTGTGATTGGTACGTAATCTGTGATTGGTACATAATCTGTGATTGGTACATAATCTGTGATTTTCAGGTAATCTGTGATTGGTACGTGATCTGTGATTGGTGCGTAATCTTTGGTTGGTACGCAATCTGTGAATGGTACGTAATCTGTGATTGGTGCGTAATCTGTGATTGGTACGTGATCTGTGATTGGTACGTAATGTGTGATTCGTACGTAATCTGTGATTGGTACGTAATCTGTGAGTGGTACGTGATCTGTGATTGGTACGTAATCTGTGATTGGTACGTAATGTGTAAATGGTACGTAATCTGTGATTGGTACATAATCTGTGATTGGTACATAATCTGTGATTGGCAGGTAATCTGTGATTGGTACGTGATCTGTGATTGGTGCGTAATCTGTGACTGGTACGTAATGTGTGATTGGTACGTAATCTGTGATTGGTACATAATCTGTGATTAGCAGGTAATCTGTGATTGGTACGTGATCTGTGATTGGTGCGTAATCTTTGGTTGGTACGTAATCTGTGATTGGTACATGATCTGTGATTGGCAGGTAATCTGTGAGTGGTACGTGATCTGTGATTGGTACGTAATCTGTGATTGATACGTGATCTGTGAATGGTACGTAATCTGTGATTGGTACGTAATCTGTGAGTGGTACGTGATCTGTGATTGGTACGTAATCCTTGATTGATACGTGATCTGTGATTGGTACGTGATCTGTGATTGGCACGTAATGTGTAATTGGTACGTAATCTGTGATTGGTACATAATCTGTGATTGGCAGGTAATCTGTGAGTGGTACGTGATCTGTGATTGGTACGTAATCTGTGATTGATATGTGATCTGTGATTGGTACGTGATCTGTGATTGGTACGTAATGTGTAATTGGTACGTAATCTGTGATTGGTACGTAATCTGTGATTGGTACATAATCTGTGATTAGTACATAATCTGTGATTGGCAGGTAATCTGTGATTGGTACGTGATCTGTGATTGGTGCGTAATCTTTAGTTGGTACGTAATTTGTGAATGTTACGTAATCTGTGGTTGGTACGTAATATGTGATTGTACGTAATATGTGATTGGTACGTAATCTGTGATTGGTACGTGATCTTCGATTCGTACGTAATCTGCGATTGGTAAGTAATCTGTGATTTGTACGTGATCTGTGATTTGTACGTAACCTGATTTGTACGGAATCTGTGGTTGGTACGTGATCTTCGATTCGTACGTAATCTGTGATTGGTACGTAATCTGTGATTGGTACGTGATCTGTGATTGGTACGTAATCTGATTGACACGTAATCTGTGAATGTTGAGGAATCAGTGATTAGTGGTTAATTTTGTAAAAATATAGTTTGATTGGCAATGTTCTACTGTTATTTTTTCAGAAGGTAACGAAGATACTCCAAACAAGTATACTTTACTTTTATCACAGCCAGAAAAACACTGCCCAGAGCTTCAACGTGAGTATATCTTGTGTTGCTTCAATCACACACCATAAACACACCTTGCAGTTATAACATACTGAGAAAACAATTCACGACGACCATCATATAATCATCTACCACATTACGTACAATCACATTGTAATCGGCTCTGAGGGGTGATGAATGTCCAGTTTCTCTTATTGTTTGTGTCATCTCTGAGTGTTTGGCTCGGCTAAAATGAATGAACTATGTACGCAGGAAAATCTAGTCATGTGTTTTTCTGACGTCATACGTGATGGATTGTTTAATGGTCAAACACAGGGTCATCTAACGGACATGCTAGCGATGTAAACACAAACATTGTCGTATAATATAGTTTTGTGACTAAGAGTCAACTCCAAGTTTAAATTTCTCGCAGAGTTCAACAGAAATAAACTCATGTACTATATTTATAATCCGAATCCTTTTTATCCAAATTGAATTCTATGATTTTCAATATATACATAAAAAACAAAAAAAAACCATGTAAAATAAACACCCAAAACTATACTCAAAACACATTATAAAATGTTTACAATACTAGTTCTTGAAAATATTTTTTTTTACTGGAGTTTTAAAATATCCTGTATTGATTTTAATTCAACAGAAAATTTGTTCTAAAGGAAAAAAAAGTGTTCTTGTTCCAGACGGAAAAATATATCATGAAATAATTTTAAGCAACAGCTCTCGTAAACCAAGACATTTGGATGATAAATACAAAGATGCCATGTTATGCATGCATTATTACATCATTACTGATTTACCATTGGCATTTTATTATATTCCAATTTAGTAGGGACAAGGCTTGAGAAGATGACGTATATTGGATATTCACATTCCCATGATCCCAATCACCTAGTACATACTGATACGTTGTTGCCATGTGATCGTGTCCATAGCAACGTCACCGGCGAATAACAAAACAGAAAAGCTCACAATTTCCGGAATATGTTGAATACTCATTGATAAAAACAAATAAAATAGAAGGACATACAATTCACCACAAAAGCATACACCCAAATATGTCAACTGTATTGAAGCCTTGAAGAAAGTAGGCGAAGATAATAGAACTAGTAACGTTTTGTGACTTGTTTTCTTTTATTTTTTTAAAAACAGAACGCCTTGAACACCTATCAAAACCAGTGGTACGTAAGATGAGCAGGGCTTCAAAATGGACCGTCGTATCCAAAAAAGTCAAACCAAAGGGTGGGTCTGTGTCTACAAAGAGATCCAACAATCACAGTAACACTTCCCCAGCGCCAAGAAGAAAATAATCAGTTTTATATCTAAATAAATTGGCGATATCAGTCTCGTGAAGTCAATGTGACTTGCATAAACATTACAATACGGTTTCAAACTAGAACACCTGATATACAATATCACAGAATTCCTGTCGATACGATACGGGTTTGTGTGGACCACCTTCAAAAGAACTGAATACAGACTGAGATTCTAGAGTTGAGAAAAAATAAATCGTCATGTTTACAGTGAAATACATTGAGTAAAATCTGCAAGATCAAGAGTAACTTTGTATATAAATTAATTTATAAATAATGGTCACGTGTTTGGTTGGGTACGTCGTAAGCTATATATTTATACACCACATTAGATACGGCCTATTATATTATCACCAGAGGGCGCTGTTACAAATATCGGGTATTAATTGTTATGGGAATTTTAATACAAATAAATGAATAAAGAGTTTTTTAAATGGATATCCAGTTTATGTTTCTTAAAAGTAGTTTTTATGACATCTGTGTGTGTTATTAGAATTTTTTTAGTTTCACAATGTCTGTCCGCATGATTGGATCCACTGTTACCAAGCAAAATGTTTGCTGGATTTCAATGAAATTTGGCAAATATGGGCTCTGATAGAACGTACATACCAGAGTTAGATTTTGAATTAAATCAGTGAATATCGATTACATAATTTGTATAATAATTAATACATTTTAGCTAAGATTGTCTCACTGATGTCTTAAGAACCACTGCGATTTCAATGCAATTTGCTACTCTCAAATAATTAACAGATACAACAAATGTATGGGTGTATTTTGGTTGAAATCTATTGTACATCTTTTACAGAATTTGCATAGTACAAGTATTCAACCAATTTTATTCTGTACTGATATCACAAAAAACAAATCACAATAAAAAATAAGTTCTCTGGTATAATCAGCCAGAATTAGCCAGATTTGCCTTAATTATACATGTAATTAGATAATGTTAAATTTCATAAATTGTAAATGACATTTAGTACATGTGCCATTTGGGATGACCCACACATCTAATTATTTTTTTGTAAAAAGTCTGTGCATGTTAATTACCTAATTAGTATATTTGGATATACTCTAAGAACCATTTATTATGAAATTTTATATTAGATTACTAGGAGACAATAATTTCCATGTTATGCTAATTACAAATTTGCATATCAATTAGCCAATTTTTCATAGTATATACATCATTTTGATGAATATTTTAACATATTATGAACAAAAAAAATTATGCTTACTATTTGCATAATTGATTAACATTAAATTATCATTTGAATACTATATGGAAAGCTAGAATTAAACAATAATTACTGGATATACCGAAGTTGGGTTAATTTAATTTACCCCGAATTCAATGCAACACCAAAATATATTACATACAGAGCATGTCAAAAGTCATGTCAGACATCATTACTCTCTGACTCAATTGTCATGATGGTTAGCTGAATTGTACTTTATAGTTGCCATGGTTTTCACATAGTTTGAAGATACAATAATGGACAGTATTGAACATTTTGGTGGTGCAATTCAAGATAATTTGTCAGTCATTTGCATAATAACACCATCACCATAGTTACCGTACACATGTACATGTTCTGTTTTTCCATTCCATGGTTAGTTGTCATGACTACACCTCATTCATACACAATATGGCATGAATGATGAACAAATATCTTGGTTGTCATAGTTACTTTGAACAAACTCACATGCCTCGGTCAAGCCTGACAATTTTAAACTTACTAAACAAAACAAAAACTGGTCATTAGACGATGCACAGTTACAACATTTCAGTCACATATTTTATTTTACTAGTTTTGTTTGTATATGCACTAAACAAAACAAAAACTGGTCATTAGACGATGCACAGTTACAACATTTCAGTCACATATTTTATTTTACTAGTTTTGTTTGTATATGCACTAAACAAAACAAAAACTGGTCATTAGACAATGCACAGTTACAACATTTCAGTGACATATTTTATTTTACTGACAAGACATCTGAGTAAATAAATAACTATCAAGTATGTATTATTCTCATTTCTGACACTTTATAATCTGTATGTGATTGGCATCAAAAAAGCTCACAAGGCACTTGTGTAAGAACAATTGTAAATACAAAAAACAAAAGTATATAGATGTATAACCATAGGGGGCAGTATACAACAAATTTTAAAATTAGCTTAGAAAATAACAAAACATGATTCTAATTCATTTAAAATAAATATTTCATATTTATAAGAATATAGATATCACATAAAATGGGTTACAATCTTACAATATAATGAAATTTCATCAAAATATACAAATTTGTATTAAATATGAACGACTTATTAGGATAGTACATGTATACAGCTGATTTGGAGTAAATGATTGTAAATAATTTTCCCTCAAAACATTTTTCGTCTTTTTTTTAAATATTTTTTGACCCAAATATTGAATATTGCTTACTTACTAGTTGATTATGCACTATTTTGCGGAAGGTTACAAAAGCTGAAAATGTGAGTGAGAGGGCTAGGATACTAATCAAAGTAATTATAGGTACTTCCTATATATACAATCAATTATAGGCATATCACAAAATTTAAATTTAATAACAATTCACATTTAAGTTTGGCAGAACAAAAAGAAATGAAAAAAGTTATTATAGCAAGAATTGTGTATTTACTATATATACAGCCTTATTTACATCACTATTATTGTCATTGACGTTTTTATATATAGAATAGACAAATATATCATAATTTAATAATATTTTTTAATAGATATAAAAAATACACATTTTCAGTTTTGATTTATTTACTTGGTGCTGGACTAATATTAGCCCCACCCCCAAATGAAGTTTCTGATCACCGCGTACATAAAACATGTGCCTCACACAAAATTTTTAACAATTTTTCATATTGGGAAAATGTGCCACATATGGTATGGTAGAATGGGGAAATGGTTATTTTCTGTTTCACAGGATTGTTTATCAATCACAATAAACCTTCAATGAATGTATTCAAAGGTATTATTTAATAAAAGTTAAATATTGTATATACCTCTTATGGTAATAAATACTATTATTATACATCTGTCACCGTAACGCCATAGGTTACAGCGTGCCGTAATTTTGCGGTATTTTACGGGGTATTTTCATCCTACCATATTAGGAAATGCAAATTCCAAATATGGAATTATTACGCGCATAAGCATCCTCTAATAATAAAAACAAACATGGCTGCCACCAGAATTCAACCGGACTCCAAACAAAGAAGTTCGCTGATTCTGTTCTAAACTTTTT